CTAAGATAGTTACAGGGGTAGGGTTATGATCTAAGATGGTTACAGGGGTAGGGTTATAATCTATGATGGTTACAGGGGTAGGGTTATGATCTAAGATAGTTACAGCGGTAGGGTTATGATCTAAGATGGTTACAGGGGAAGGGTTATAATCTAAGATGGTTACAGGGGTAGAGGTATGATCTAAGATGGTTTCAGGGGTAGGGTTATAATCTAGTATGGTTACAGGGGTAGGGTTATGATCTATGATGGTTACAGGGGTAGGGTTATAATCTAAGATGGTTTCAGGGGTAGGGTTATAATCTAGGATGGTTACAGGGGTAGAGTTATGATCTAAGATGGTTTCAGGGGTAGGGTTATAATCTAGGATGGTTACAGGGGTAGGGTTATGATCTATGATGGTTACAGGGGTAGGGTTATAATCTAAGATGGTTACAGGGGTAGGGTTATAATCTAAGATGGTTACAGGGGTAGAGTTATGATCTAAGATGGTTTCAGGGGTAGGGTTATGATCTAAGATGGTTACAGGGGTAGGGTTATAATCTAAGATGGTTACAGGGGTAGGGTTATGATCTAAGATGGTTACAGGGGTAGGGTTATAATCTAAGATGGTTACAGGGGTAGAGTTATGATCTAAGATGGTGACAGGGGAAGGGTTATGATCTAAGATGGTAACAGGGGTAGGGTTATGATCTAAGATGGTTACAGGGGTAGGGTTAAGATCTAAGATGGTTACAGGGGTAGGGTTATGATTTAAGATGGTTACAGGAGTAGGGTTATAATCTAAGATGGTAACAGGGGTAGAGTTATGATCTAAGATTGTTACAGGGTTAGGGTTATAATCTAAGATGGTTACAGGGGTAGGGTTATGATCTAAGATGGTTACAGGGGTAGGGTTATAATCTAAGATGGTTACAGGGGTAGAGTTATGATCTAAGATGGTTACAGGGGTAGGGTTATAATCTAAGATGGTTACAGGGGTAGAGTTATAATCTAAGATGGTTACAGGGGTAGGGTTATAATCTTAGATGGTTACAGGGGTAGGGTTATGATCTAAGATGGTTACAGGGGTAGAGTTATGATCTAAGATGGTTACAGGGGTAGGGTTATAATCTTAGATGGTTACAGGGTTAGGGTTATGAATTCTGTTAACAGTCCATGTTGGTACTCGATTGATAAAAAGCAATATTTGAATTCTTGAACGGAACCGAGTTTATCCAGACCCCAATTTTTATCAGATTTTTTTGTTCAAGCCTCGCTTCAAAGCTGTTGTGTTTTCGGTTTTGAACATTGATAATTTTAGAAAGTTACCAGATAAATAATATTTATTTAAATTGTAGACATAATAGCAAAATATTGGCCGTTTGTTTGTCGGGTAGAAGAGCAAGGTCGTCTACGAAAATTAGCGTAAAACACGGAAAACAAAGTCTTGTAAGAAAGTGACGTAAACAAAATGAAGTCGTTTAAGAATCAAAGCGTAAAGACACTCTGGACTTGATACATAAGTGCTTTATTTGGAGGCATGGAAGTCTAGTGGTAGGACGCCGGGCTCATGACTGAAGGGTTGCGAGTTCGTCTTTGAGCAAGATACTTTACTCAGCTTGTTCCAGCCTACTTAGCTGTACATGAGTTCGTGGTTGGGTAGTGGTAGAATTGTTGAATGCTAGCTGTGAGAGCCGACAGGGAGTTAAGAATTATAACCACGGATAATAATTTGTGAACCGCTTTGAGACGACCTACGAACTAGGTTGTGATAAATTATTATTTCCACGAAATGTTTAGAAGATCAACATTGTCAACACCAGCAGTTACTACGTTGTCACTTTTGTTAGTATTGACAAAAGTCCGTGTATTTTATTTATTCTTGGCCATGTCTGTTGTTATATATCCTGAGAACAACACGTTGAGGCTTTGACCGAGTTTTCAGGGTCACACAGATGTTTGGAGTATTGCTAGCTTAACGGTGACATTTTCACAGGTATTGAAATAGGTGTGTTCATTATCATCACATCAGGAATACTGAAGAGCGACCCCTGGGTGTTCTGACCGAGTTTATCAAGGTCACTTAAATGCTTGGAGTATTGCTAGCTTTATTTTAGCAGAAGAGAAAAATCCGGTTACGACATTGTCAGATATATTGAAACTATGTCATAGCACCAGCTTAGTTCAGGATAGTAGAATCAAGGAAACACTCAATCGGGAACCGTCGGCACTTGCCGTAAACGAGAAAATATTAGTTTTCCTCGAATACGGAAACTGCAGACGGTTCCCGATTAGGAAACACTGAGAGCGACACCTGAAGACTTTGAACGACTATGAAGCTTTGTTAGATCAACCTTAAAATTCCGCTACGATGGTTTCACCTATGATTTATTGTTGTCAGTCATAAAGCTGTCTGTACTAGTTTGATTTCAGTATATATGCCTTAAGTTGTTTAATGTTAAGCTTGTCATCGTAACGTAGCAACACATTAATTACTGAAATGATATAAAAAAGATGTTAAAAACTATCAGCGATATGTTTGAACGTAACGTGTGAAGCACCCGAGGTAATGCTGTTGGTGTGACCTTGTGTATGATTGAGGCGTTTTCTACACGATCTAACTGATCCAACAGACACCGATCTCGAGTGGCCGATTCCCTGTTTACAAAGGGACTTCCTTGAAAAAGGAAAATGCTAATGAACAAAGTAAAATTTCAAAAATTTATAAAGGTTAACATTATCAGTATTCAAAAATACCTCCACCCCCACAAACACACACACATAATTATAAACACAGTCAATATATAACTGCTTACATCCAAAATAGAGAAACCACGTGATGCTGTAGTACCGACATCGCTGTTTTGGAAGCGATTTAGCATCGTACATATGTCCTCTTTTCCCTTAGATTTTCTCATGGCAGAAAAGTCTTCGGTCGATTAACCTAGAAGATGATATCGATTGAGAAAAATAACAGCATTCTGTATACATTGTGCCATTGATCTCAGAGTTATCATTTGATTGAAGAAACACTTTTAATCATGCAACAGCGTAACGGTAAAAACAATCGCCTTTGATATCAGGATATCCTTTTGACAATATTCAAAGCGAAGGTACAGCTAGTATCAGCCATGCGAATGGTCAGTTTTTGATGTCAGATTTCTTAGAATTGCTGCCCGCGAGCGTTTGCTTTGTCATAAGAATATCCCATTCGTGACACCTCGCCCTTCCCGATTACAGTTCCTTTCATCAAATCATTCGGAACACCTCGGCCGATTCGGTCATCTAACGATGGAAGGAACTGTAATCGGGCGAGGTGTTCCGAACGATCAAAAATTAGATTACGGAATCGGCCGAGGTGTTCCGAATGGAAAACCAAGAGTTAAGATGTGTGTAAGTAACCCTTTGAGTTTGAAGATATCTGTTAGGAAGGTTTAAAGCTGATGGTTATTTAAATGTTAACTCCGCTTTCACGTAATGGAACCCGATATATGTAGGTCAGCGCTGTATATCATTGTACAAACCCTTCACCTAGTATCAACCCGATACTCTGTGACATCATTTGGTATCTTCGGGCATTTTGCTGTGTCAGCGTATATATAGATATCTACAGCATTGACCTCGTGTAATATAAACCACGATCCTAGCTCCGGTTGAGACACACTCTATAATGTGCCCCATACTCTAGTGCAAACTTTGTAACAACGAATGTAACAGGGGTGTCACAGTACGAGGAGTGTATCGCGGTATATCGCGATACGTATCTTGATAATATTGTGTTAAGTATCTGCACTGTAACTTTGTGGGATTAACACTCACGGTATAAGGTTACATATTTACACCAATTTGGCATTCAGGTTACACCGAATATTGGTACACTTTTAACTGTTTTATGTTGTGATTCACGTTACACTCGAACTGGTGTTATCATAAAGTTTACCCGGATAACGGAGTAAAGTCACTCGTCAAAAACACGGATTTGTGGTAAAGTAAACACGAAAACTTTATAGTGTGGTTAGCGGTAATAACCTTACCCAGTCGAACTGCAGTCATGTCCTAAACGAAAACTACATTGGAACTCTTTTGTGTTTTTCGGCTGCAGTGAGACAGGGATCCTTAACACAAGACACGAATTGTCATCCAAACTCCAGCTAAGACTGAAGATAAGGTGACGCGAGCGGTGTCCTATAAGGAGTTCATAATTGTTGTTCAGGGTTGATATGTTTAGAATTAAATGCTATTTTTAGAAGATGTATGGTTCGGTCCGGAATATACCCTTGAAGCGGATAACGATTTCATTGGTAGGAATTAGAAGATGTGTAATCATTATTTTTATCTACAAGTTCCGGAAGTGCATTGAGTGAACAAAAAACGTATATCACACTACAGGTCTGCCTTTAACCGTTAGAGCGTACTACAGGTCTGCCTTTAAACGTTAAAGCATACATGCAATACCGGAAATGGAATATCTCGTGCATCACCGGAAGTACATGTACACGTTATCGGATCCCTTCAATCCCATCGATAAATTGACAGTATTTGAGTACGTTTTTGTAAACTTTGACACAAATTGCATTGTGTTTTCAAATTCAGATTCGGATACAAAAATATTTATTGTTCCGGAATGTTACGGTTTTAAAAACTCGTCACCTTAAGTTGCTTAGCGATGGATAGTGGACTTTTGCTTTGATGTTTTGATGTAAAAATCTTTGTCGCCGATATAGAACGCCTATTGGTTTTAGGGCGAAAAGGTTAACGAGAACTGTCTGAATGTGTCACGATTTGATCTCTTTATAGATGTACATTGGTATTTATTCATTGAATAGTGCTTGGCTGGACTGATCAACTAATAATGCAGCCATTCATCGCGTGCCATTGTACAGTATATTAGAAATATACATTCGGGTACCTATAAAACTAGAGACTAGAAAACTAAGTCAAGCGAGCTACGGGCTTTTTGTTTTGAAAATACTCTTCAGCCATTTTCACTTATAGTTTATTTGTTTCTTTATTCTTTACAGATCGTGATGCCGTGGACATAGCAACGAAACGCAACTTTGGATGCAAGTTCGTCCGCATTGGAGGGGAGATATAACTATGTGGGTCTAAGATTCACAACAGTGTCGAAACCCGTGACACAGAGGGCACTATCGGGAAAACCGGAAATTGTGTTATAAGCTTTGAAAAAAGGAAAACAAAAAGAAAAAAATGGCGGAGGAAAAGAACGGAAAATCTCGTCAACGACGAGAGTCATGTGACTCGGAAATATCTAACGAGAGCGTAACTGACTTGATTCCTACACCACCAGATGGCGGATGGGGCTGGGTCATTGTAATAGCCTCGTTCATGTGCAACGTCATAGTGGACGGAATAGGATATGCTTATGGGGTACTTTTGCCGGAATTTGCCGAATATTTCCAGGCGCCGAAGAGTAAAGTATCGCTGGTGGGCTCTCTACTTTGTGGGGTTTACTTACTAGCAGGTAAGGGAACAGTCGTTAAAATAACTATGTATGACCTTTTTTAGTTCGGGTTTTTACGGGCGATAACTCGCCAAAGTCATTACTATAAATATATTGTAAGGTTATTGTATTGCTTTGCGAAGGGGAAAGAGCTCGGTAATGTTACTACTGCCTTTGTTTCAATCACGAATTCGACCAGGGGAGTTAACTCAGTAGTTATACAATTTAGTCTGAAACAAGGAAAATGCAGAACAAACTTGTAAAATTCCCCAATCCCACGATTTGGAAAAGGGTCGGTCGTAGTTATTTGAATGTTTATGATAAAAAGTTTTTACTGTCATTTTAGGACCGATCGTGAGTGGTCTAACAAACAAGTTTGGCTGTCGGAGAGTAACCATTGTGGGCAGTATAATCGCCTCCATAGGATTCATCATCGGGTCATTTAGTCCAAACCTCAACATCCTCATCGTCACCTACGGCTTCCTCGGAGGTAAGTTCACTCATTCTCAGGCAATGGTCCACTTAACTGTTAACACTCATTCTCAGGCAATGGTCCACTTAACTGTTAACACTCATTCTCAGGCAATGGTCCACTTAACTGTTAACATTCATTCTCAGTCAATGATCCACTTAACTATTAACACTCATTCTCAGTCAATGGTCCATTTAAACTGTTAACACTCATTCTCAGTCAATGGTCCACTTAACTGTTAACACTCATTCTCAGTCAATGATCCACTCAACTGTTAACACTCATTCTCAGTTAATGGTCCACTTAACTGTTAACACTCATTCTCAGTCAATGATCCACTTAACTATTAACACTCATTCTCAGTCAATGGTCCACTTAACTGTTAACACTCATTCTCAGTCAATGGTCCACTTAACTGTTAACACTCATTCTCAGTCAATGGTCCACTTAACTGTTAACACTCATTCTCAGTCAATGGTCCACTTAACTGTTAACACTCATTCTCAGTCAATGGTCCACTTAACTGTTAACACTCATTCTCAGTCAATGGTCCACTTAACTGTTAACACTCATTCTCAGTCAATGGTCCACTTAACTGTTAACACTCATTCTCAGTCAATGGTCCACTTAACTGTTAACACTCATTCTCAGTCAATGGTCCACTTAACTGTTAACACTCATTCTCAGTCAATGGTCCACTTAACTGTTAACACTCATTCTCAGTCAATGGTCCACTTAACTGTTAACACTCATTCTCAGTCAATGGTCCACTTAACTGTTAACACTCATTCTCAGTCAATGGTCCACTTAACTGTTAACACTCATTCTCAGTCAATGGTCCACTTAACTGTTAACACTCATTCTCAGTCAATGGTCCACTTAACTGTTAACACTCATTCTCAGTCAATGGTCCACTTAACTGTTAACACTCATTCTCAGTCAATGGTCCACTTAACTGTTAACACTCATTCTCAGACAGTGGTCCACTTAACTGTTAACACTCATACTCAGTCAATGGTCCACTTAACTGTTAACACTCATTCTCAGTCAATGATCCACTTAACTGTTAACACTCATTCTCAGACAGTGGTCAGTTTAATTATTAACATTCTCAGACAGTGGTCAGTTTAATTATTAACATTCAATGGTAATTTTAAAGTAGTAACACGCATTCTAAGATAATGGTTCGTTTAACTTGTTAAACACTCATTCTCGGGCAATAGCCCATTTACTCTGTTTGCAATCATTCTTAAACTCGTACCTTTTAACTCAATCATTGAGTAAATATACTATTGAAAAACGTCATATTTATTCTTTATGTTCTTTTAAGGAAAAATATATTTTTAATTCTATGGCATATTCCTATTTTTGTAGGATTTGGATTTGGCTTGATTTACCTGCCATCTATTGTCAGTGTTGGGTATTATTTCGAGAAGAAGCGCGCTCTGGCCACGGGGATAGCAGTGTGCGGATCCGGGGTGGGAACGTTCATATTTTCACCTGGAAACAACGCCCTTCTCGCGGCCTATGAATGGCGCGGTCTCTTGCTTATTCATGCGGCTATAATTTTACAATGTTGTGTATGCGGAATGCTTATGCGGCCTCTGGAGCCAACAAAAAGGAAAAAGGTCCGAGTGAGCGACAAAACCATAAACAGGATTAAGGAGGAAGCAAAATCGGGAAGGAAGCGCTGTAATGAGTCAGAATCTAGTGTCGCAGTCGTGGAAACGTTTGCTAAACTCAGGGAAGCTAAATTAAAGCGGGAAAAGCAGTTAGAGGATGACTCCGACATAGCGTCAATGCCCAGTGCGTACTTCGTGAAGGGTCCACCGGACGCAATGAGTACAAGTTACAATTCGCGACAAATGAAACTGTCATTCTCTGACCGCGGGGACGCCATGAGTCAAACAAGTACTCCCGCAGGTCCCCCGAGAATCATGATTTCTGAAAATGGCTCCAACGTTGCCATGGACAATGAAGTGGAATCACCAACATCAAATATGTCCGTGAGCATTCTCGACCGGAAGAACAGTAGCAGTACAAATGTTCAACCGGAATCAGGTGATCAAAAAGACAAAAATGATTCCGCTTTGCCCAATGGCGTTTTTGCGCACGAGGTTCAACCTCTTATCGATAATGGGTACACAAAAGTAGTTACGCCCAAGCCGAAACCATCACCGTCCGGAGGGGATGCAGGATCAAAATTATGCGTGGGATCGTCACGTGACATTCACAGAGAGGATTATAAAAGACCTTTGTATAGGAAAGACATTTTCTACAGCGGAAGTGTGTTAAATATCCCACAATACCGTTCGCAGCCGGACATGCGCAGTTACATCGCTAGTATTACAACGATTCCCGGCGACATCGATCAAAGGGCCACATGTTGGGACAAATGCACGTGTCTTCCGAAATCGGTAGTTTACACTTTGTCCGAAATGCTGGACATTTCTCTTTTGACCAACGTGCCATTTCTCCTGATCTGTGTGGGGAATCTGTTCGCTATGACGGGATTCTATGTCCCGTTCACTTACATCGTAGACAGAGCGGTCTTGCTTGGAATCGACAGCACTAAGGCCGCCTTTCTGCTCTCCATTATCGGTGAGTCTAAAAATAGCACTGACCTTAACCTACATATTTGACTTTGGTATATAAAAAAAAGTTACACTCCGATATTCGAGCGGATTTACAAGCCATGTTCATCTTCAGTCGCCTGGTATGCAAATATCAGCTAACACCTTTATTCTCTTCAATTTCGTTGAGTCTCAATATAGCATTGACCTTGACCTATATATTGAGTCTATGTGCAGACATACAATCTTTACAATGTTTCGTGTCTACTATCACAACATTTGTTTCCATGCATCAGCAATGACCTTGACATACATATTTGAACTAAAGACGCAAATTGTACCTTTATGTAATTGTCCAACTTAGATATTAGATATCACAGTGACCTTGAATCAAGGACAATTTCAGACATGAAAATAAGGGAAATTGTTACTGATGATCAGTGTTTTGATATTTGTCTTGTTATCGTCGCCAATCGAGTTTTACTGCCGACACAGAGCTTTCCCCATTCTTATTCCTCTAAGCTTTAAACCGCCAAAAGAAACAATCATTTTAACAATCGCCATTATGAAAAGACGATTTATCGGTGTTGTTTTTATTGGCAAATCAACTATTGTGTTACATCTCAAATGAATAAGTATTATCTATTAATAGAATGGATGTAGACCACGGATTCAGTTAGAATGTCTTTAAGAAGCATTAAAATAGATGGGAATTATGAAAAGGGAGAAACGTTGTATCCTTTTTTTCCAGTTTTAATAATATCATATGAGTTGTCTGAGAAGATATTTAGAGAATCCGTACCATTTTAAAACCTTAGTGAATACGAAATATGGCTTTTATTTCTACAGGTATCACCAACACTTTTGGTCGTGTCATGTCCGGTTTCCTTGCCGACTTGAAATTCGTGGATAGCCTCGTTATCAACAACATCGCTCTCGTCATCAGCGCCATTGCTCTGTTTCTCGAACCGTTTTGTGTGACCTACGAGACGCTTATCGTCTTTGCCGCCGTGTATGGGCTTTGTGTGGGTAAGTAACCCCACATCCCCCACATCCCCCACATCCCCACATCCCCCTCACCTCGTCCACAACTTTGTCCTTAGTTTGCGATGTGAGAGAATTATTTAGATTCAACTTTTCGTTTAATTTCCGAAAACAGGAAGTAAACAACAAAACATGAAAAAAAGATACGGAGACGGAATACCATAATACACAAAACGGATTCCTGATATTCTACTGATGGTTTTAATATAATATATAACAACCTGACCGATACTGCACCCCTGGAATTGATGGTGGATTGACGCTACTGTGTTGTCCAAAAGTGGTTCCCGATTGCTGTGTTGTCAGTCCTGGGGTTGGGTTGATTTAAGCCTTAATAAAACGCTTCACATTTCAAGGTTAAGGTTAATGTTTGGGTTGATAAATAATCTAATACACTTTATTGAAAGTCAATAGCTGTTTAATATAAATGAGGAGTCTTATTATAGTGTAATAGTATACCATTATGGTAAGGATGGTAATGCAAGTGAAATTCTCAGCAAATCATCTGTCAGAGTAACCTCCCTTCACAGTTTATCAGCAGAAAGGTTCCGAATTGTTGATAGAACGGATGGTTGTGATTTGCTTACTTTTAGCGATATTTCAAGGTACTTCTATGTGACGTCATCTTGTGTCGTTTCAAAGTAACGCCATGTAGGTTTAGTTCAGGAGTTACTGTCTTAAATTTGCTTATAAAATTGTCCACAACAGATATAATATTGATACAGATTGATTCATTTTTAACCCTTTCACCGCTGTAAACTATAATGGACTTGTCTATATCAATGTATGGTAGTGTCTACTAAACTAAGTGAAAGGGTTAACACTCAGTAAAATGCTGAATCATTACGAGATCCCATTATTTTGGTGAGCATTTCCAATGATGCTTTGGGGTTTTCTAAGTCGTCAACTATTTAAATATGATCTCTTTGTTTTCGTGATAACAGCGGCCTACATTTCATTGACCTCCATCATCATCTGTGACCTGCTTGGACTGGAAAAACTAACGAACGCCTTTGGACTATTGACCATGGCTCGAGGCATTGCAGGAATATATGGACCTCCTGTGGCTGGTAAGACAAAATTTACCGGATTGTCTCCCCTTGTCAAAATGCGTATCAAACAAGAGTCCTGATATATAGAAATAAAGAATTTTATCTATATTTTTCTCAATAGGGAGCATATATATTAATGAAATCAGATTTTGGAAAAAGTTTGGAAACAGAGCTTCCTAATTGGAATTTCACAGCATTCATTTGAAAATTAGGGGTTTGGATGGGGCTAGGGAAAGAATATATTTATCAAATCTCATAATTCGACGAGAAATGCTGGCCACATCGATATTTTTGCTTCATATGGTATTAATGTTTTAAATTTGCTTTGTATGGATTTCCCTATTCGACAGTTCTGCTACACAACTAAGACTCGACTTTTTGTTATACAGGGTTGGTGTTCCAGGCTTACGGCACATACGATGCTTCATTTATTATGGGAGGCGTCATGTTCAGCATTGGGTCCGTATTCCATCTGGCTTTACATTTGCCATGCCTCAAACGAATGACAAAACAACACCAAACGGAAACAATCATTAATGAGAGCACGCATGTGTAAGAGAGCAAAACCCGGAAGTAGCGATATGTGTTATCGGATTATAACCCGGATGTAGACAAAATTTGACCTGATGTTGTTGTCTATGAAATAATTAAAAATTAGTTGAAGGAAGTCAACTTGTACATTGAAAGGTTAACCGGAAGTCACTTGCAGTGTAGTTAACACTTGACCGGAACTAGTCATCTCTATGGTAACCAACACATATCAAAGAGGATTTTAACTGAATGATTGATGTTTATCCAAAATCTTCTTGACAAATAACGTGTTTTTTAAATTTAAATTTTTTGAAATGTGATTCTTTTCTCCGTATCGACGAAAGTTTAGTTTGAAATCTGGCGTTTGCTACACAACTTGAAACTTTTTAATGTGACGTGAAACATTGTCAGTTTGGTTTGAAATCTGGCGTTTGCTACACAACTTGAGACTTTTTAATGTGACGTGAAACATTGTCACGTGACTTGAGACATTGTCACGTGACTTTATACACTTATGTGACTTGTAACTATATTAGGATTATGTTGAACGTGATATGTATATGATTGTTGTAATGGATGTGATAAAGCGTGTGATAAAACGCATAGGAGGTTTTTTTTTGTAAGTTCGAAATGTGTTCCTTGTAAAATGTAACTACGTGAACATTATTATGATGGTTTTATATTATCAGTGAAAAACAAGGAATAATTTAAAAAACGATGACTTTTTCAAAACATTATGAAATCATCTTTAAAAATCAGTTTTCATGCTTCCATACAATTTGATATACTTATCAATTATGGACTTTTGTTGAGGGAAATATGCATAAATATGGACCTGCGAAAGAGATATTAACCGGAAAGAAATCGTGTTCAATTTCAATTTTCATGTCCGTATACTAGTAACGCATATTCACCGAGAAGAAAAACCTTTAATTGTTATATTTGATATGAAATGATGCTGTATTTTATCAAGTAACAAAATGTAAGTTATAGAAATAGCCGAAGGAAAAGTACTGCATATGACAGAAAACTTCACGACATGGCAATCGTAGTGACGTCATAAAGAGACTATTAACCGGCTGTTTCTATAATTGGTAACACAGTCAGTATCCCATATTATTGACTGACACGTGACTATCATTTCACCAATGAGGATGAAATAAAAACAATGTCATTTAACTTACTGTAATACACAGGTACTATTATATAGTATACACATTATGTTACTGTTAGTGGGTCCAGCTCCAGTGCTGTAATATAGCATTCTTTTTAAAGGAGTTTGATAAAAACCTACACATCGCAGGGTCTTGTAATAATGCCTTTTCCGATCACAGGGTTTTGTAAAATTTCATCATACCGATTTGTACATGTATAGCTATCCTAATAACTTTGAGAGGACGATGTATATTAACTGTGGGGTCAGAGATCATGGTTGTAGTACATTATTAACTCATTGACCCCTGAAATTACACAATAAACTATTCCTACCTTTGAATCGGAAGTGCTCAAATGTATCTTCAGGGGTGAATGAGTTAATGTTTTGTCCTTTGGTAACTACTGGCGACATGAAACTGATCTTGTCTTCCTAATTGCAATAAGACTTTTTTTCTCTGTATTTAAATTTTATACAAGTTAAGTTAATTTCTTGGATATGTGATCACTTTTCCTGAAGGAGTAATAAAATTGGGAATGTTCGGTTTTACCTTATACAACGAACTTGTAGCTATGTTCCGAAATTTTTCTGCCGGCAAACATTTGCCAGAAAGCTTATAAACATGTTACCTTTCGTTGAAATCCTGATGACGCCATCATAACTAGTTTGATATGCTGCTTCTCGTTTGTTATATGATAGTGTTTTACAGCAATACAGCAATACTGGTGCGAGTAGAGTAGTATATATGTTTCGTAGATATAACTATACAATTTGATGTTAATTTTTAATTCTAAATATAATCTTTATATTTGTTACACCTCAAGTGAATTTCTAGCTATTTGATTGGTTGGGAGAAAATTAAACAAAAATCTCTGTCACACTCCGAAAATACATTGGTTTTAAGGGGCGCGGTTGATATTGCCATGAGACAGAGAAAAATATCATAAGCGAAAAATATACGTTCACCGCTTCGTTTTCAAACCGTGATGGTCACAAGAACGTTTGACGGCAACAGCCAATTTTATCAAGCGCCAGTGCGATAGCGATTGTAAACAGCAGACTATCAACAAACAAGATGTCATTATCGAGGTTTGCTGCCGTTTCTGAGCTACAAAGACTTTTGGTGTAATAAAATAGATATGACATTCATTAGCAGGGGACAGGGAATATTGTCAACCCTCAAAAACCCATTGTCACCTGCTAATGAATGTCATATTTATATAATGTTACCCTAACCCTAATCTTGCTTGTAACAAACATTTTCATCGGCTTGAAATTTTATGTTATCAGCCCATAACGTAAAAAAATGACGTCGCCGTTTGTAACGTCGCTTTTGATTGGCTGATACAGCGGCGTCATAATTTCGAAGAGAAAAGTGTCCATCAATAAAAGTTGATCTCCACAGGGATTGTGTAAAGTTGATTAAATTATAAGGATTGACTTATTTTCGTTTTGGTGGACAATTTGTTTATGACGTCACAATAAAATATCATTTTATTGTGACGTCATAATCAACTGGTCCTTGCCAAGAATTGGCATTACAAGAATTTTAAATGGAGGCCAATATGCGATTCTTGTCCTGCTTTATATATAAATATGGGTTATTTCTAAAGTGGAATCGCGTCACTTGCTTCAAGGTTTTGTATCACACAGATTTTGACAGACACATTATATTTTATATGTATACATTCATAGTGTGTATATTTTAGTTTTATCATTCCAATATTAATTATTGAGCTGAGTTTTTAAGATTTTATCATAACCCATATACATATGAATGTTGAACACATGTGATGTGAATTTTTAATGTTTACACGTGTGAATGATTTCAAATATATATATATATAAACTTTTCCTTTACAATTTTTTTCAAACAAGTTGTATATTTTTGCACTTAAAGTTAAGGATATTTGTTTGCGAGTGTAGTAGAATGTTTTAATGAGCAACTGCGATATTTTTTGCAAAATCATCTTTAACACAAATCAGACATTCTTGAGAAGCCTACATTTCCCATCATTTTCCACACAAATGTTTGATGTGTTTGAAATAGTGTTCGTCCACTTTGCCTTGGTAGTCCCGTTTTTTCAGAATAATGTTGCGGTATATTTTTTTTGAGTACATAATTCCCTTAGACGGTATTACTGTAAGATAATAATTTTATAGGAAGTAATATTTCAGGGGTTCCTACTATTTTTTTACATGGGCAGAACATTTTGTCACAGAAAATGTACTCATTTTTGGGAACAAATCATTTTATCGATTTCATTCTGTTTGTTAAGCCTTAAACCACGGACATTATTTTATCATTTTAACAATGTTTTGAATTGTTGGATACATGAACTGTTATGTATTCACTTCGTGGTGTTAGGAGTTAAGCAGCACTGTTAATGGTCAACAGGCCAAACTATCCGATAATCAGGCAGGCAACAAATTCGCCAGACTGATACTAAGAACATTATACAGTATATTATTATATATGTATACAGTATATTATTATATATGTATACAGTATATTATTATATATGTATACAGTATATTATTATATATGTATACAGTATATTATTATATATGTATACAGTATATTATTATATATGTATACAGTATATTATTATATATGTATACAGTATATTATTATATATGTATACAGTATATTATTATATATGTATACAGTATATTATTATATATGTATACAGTATATTATTATATATGTATACAGTATATTATTATATATGTATACAGTATATTATTATATATGTATACAGTATATTATTATATATGTATACAGTATATTATTATATATGTATACAGTATATTATTATATATGTATACAGTATATTATTATATATGAGCAGACTATGCTTTACCTTAATTACATAGTATAGGAACGTTTTCAAAATATGTGACATAATTTTGAAATTTAGTTTTGTAAGTTTTGTTTAACTTTTTTTTTATCCGGACAATCCGTTGCTATGGCGACAGCTATGTATGATCTCGTTCATGAAAGAAGGTGATATGTTTATTCCCTTATAAGTTTCCCTAGAAAGTTTCATCTTTTTCCACTGTCTCACTAGGTCAGGTGCTTGCTGCACGTGTATTAGCTACACGTGTTCGCTCACGCCCTGCCAAAGTGATGCGCTCATACGAAAATTACGCCCCACAATCACAATCTCCTCTGTGCGGACGATTTGGAAAATGAAAAAATAGTCAAAATATATTTTATACATTGAATGTGGCTTCAAATCCGTTCGACTCAGGAAATATAAGTCTTAGACAGGTGATATGAATCCACATCCCGCCTAGTAACTTAGATAGCTAGCCTCATATGGTATACTACATATATTATGTTTTACAAGTGTTAGCTTATCTTAATATCAGCCCCAAGATATTTGTGTGTGCCTTTTCTAAGTCGGTTGAACTTTTCTTAGCTAAGTCGATTGAACTTTTCTTAGCTAAGTCGATTGAACTTTTAACACCATCAATACGCTTTTTTATTATTATTTTCTAGTAGAAGAAAAATAATCAAATTCATAAAAATAATAATCATGTGAAATAAAATAATTGAAGATATTGTTTATTTGATTTATGCTTGTTTATTCATACCCCGTTCCTTGTTCTTATTTCTTCCAGTTTTTCCCGTCAGCGAAATTATTGCCACTTTTCTAATAAAAATTGTAGTTAGATTCAAGGATGAAAGGCAGTTTAAAAAATACTTTTCATTTTTCGACCGGTCATCCAACATGGCCTCTGATTTGTCGAAATTTCGATGTTTACTGATTTCGCTCAAGTTAAGTTTGGTACTAGTAGGTGTAAAATGTAAACACTACTGCAACATCCAATCGTATCATTCGTGACTGAAGGGATAGTCTTGGGAACTTTTTTAATGGGCCCCATTGCAATCAGCACCTGTCGAAACATGTGTCTGGTCAAATAGGGGGGATTCCACGGTAGCGGTTCCAACGACGTCTGTGTTGCATGCAAATAGGGAAACTGAAAGTCAAAATGGCGGCGAGAGAACATCTCGCTGTAGATCAGTGAGTAGTATATATATCATTACTCCGTCTTTACATACCTGTTCAGTTCTGGACTGACACCATTCAGAGCTTAAGTTATTGTAGGTTTAAAGTACATGAGGTTAATAGCAAATTGTTTACGGTGAACAGTAGATAGAGGCAGCTTTAGAAGGTTTATCGAGCATAAACTGAGTCTGGATTAAATATTCACATGAGCTTCACGTTCGGATCCTTTTTGCTCAACAAACATCTTGTTTGATTCCTTTCGTGGAAGCATGAATTCCATGTCTCCAGTTTGATATAAATTTTCCTGTTAGTTTATAAAATAAAATAAAACATGGTACTCTATAGCCAATGTATACTTGAACACTCTTGGGTGTTGAAAATCTGGATAGAGCTCCATTTTCAAATATACTTTCCACGTAATTCATATTTTGATAAAATTGTCAAATATACTTTCCACATAATTCATAATTTGATAAAATTGCTAACAGTTTATTACTTAATTTATTCTGTTTTTTTTTTATTCAAACATATGTAACATACACCAAACACTTAGGGACAGGTAGCGCCTAAACACTTAGGGACAGGTAGCGCCTAAACACTTAGGGACAGGTAGCGCCTAAACACTTAGGGACAGGTAGCGCCTAAACACTTAGGGACAGGTAGCGCCTAAACACTTAGGGACAGGTAGCGCCTAAACACTTAGGGACAGGTAGCGCCTAAACACTTAGGGACAGGTAGCGCCTAAACACTTAGGGACAGGTAGCGCCTAAACACTTAGGGACAGGTAGCGCCTAAACACTTAGGGACAGGTAGCGCCTAAACACTTAGGGACAGGTAGCGCCTAAACACTTAGGGACAGGTAGCGCCTAAACACTTAGGGACAGGTAGCGCCTAAACACTTAGGGACAGGTAGCGCCTAAACACTTAGGGACAGGTAGCGCCTAAACACTTAGGGACAGGTAGCGCCTAAACACTTAGGGACAGGGACAGGTAGCGCCTAAACCTTCAGTAAAGACGGGTACAGGTTTTGATGGAGTAATGGAGTGTATAACATATATGGCAAGTCGACATATGTACTCAAATAATTATCATTTATTATTTTTAACTAGCATATTATGAACAAATATCGATCTTGCATCGAATAGTCTTTTTTTCGTTTCCTGGTATGTAATGCCACGACAATTACAGTCCATCCGTATATATACCTTCACTTCAAAATATTTAGCCACCTTGAAATAATTTGCCCTGGCTACAGACTGATCTAGACACAGGGGCACGGTTAAATTTATCAATTTATATCTGAGGCCTCCTTGTTTACGTTATGTATGGTAAACAAGGAGACCTCGTGTATGAATTGATAAATTGAACCGTGCCCCTGTGATCTAGACTAGTGTAAGGCAATGCCAGATATAATTATTATTATTATTTTTAGAACACTTTGCAGTCGTTCTCAACAATCAGCGCCTTCACAAGTGAAATCAAGAACCAATTAGCTTTATATCAAACTCTAGCTAAAGTGGAAAGTCAAAAGTACTCACAGGGACATGAGATTTACTATGTAGCGGAAAATATATTTCCTGTCTGATCTATGCCAGATATGTACAGTTTTTTTTTTACATAGAATTGTTCAACAATATCTGTTCTAGTGATTAAATTTTGTTTGACACAGTTTCCAAGTTTGTATTGGCAGCAGGACACAATGAGTGGTGAGGCTTGTGCAGTGATATTTTGTGATTTTTGGTATTTTCCCCTATACATGCAGGGGAGTGACATTCAAATAAAATTATCTTTCTTAAATGCCGGTCATGAGGTACTTTACAGCTCACTGTGCGTTCAGTTTGAATAGATCTACAATATAAAATAGGAACCAGACCCTGTGCAAAATTTTAAAATATTTTAATAATTGTTTTCCTTTTGGTATAACATATAGTAGAATTAATTGTGGTCTGAGGCCTGTTGGCGAAGTTATATGTTTTGTATCGGAGTTATCTCCCATTGTCGAATTTAGCGAACAAGACTAAGCATTGTGAAAATAATTGTTTTTAAGTTTTTATTTCTATTATAGAAGAACGAAATAGTAATGATAAATGTGGTCTCATTAAATTTAGTTGTCATAAAGCAGCCAATTGCAAGAATTCTATTGGGCAACTTTGATTGCTGATGTTCTATTTTCAAAATTTGTCACTTGTTTCTTAATCCTTGGTAGTATAGTGGTAAGTATCCCCGCCTGTCACGCGGGAGACCGGGGTTCAATTCCCCGCCAGGGAGGCTTTTTTTTTAAAATTTTCTTTTCTTCCTTTTTTCCTTCTTCTCTTTTGTTATTCCCGTACATGTAACAATTAAATTACAGATGTTATCATAAACTACATTTTTATTTTAAGGATGCAAAACCAACAGAGACTGGACGATCAATATTGTGTGGTTTTGCATGAATCATTCGAAACTTTTTTAGGTTTCATCAAACTATTACAATGGATCTTGTTAACAAAACCTTCCACTGACAAGAATTATTAATCTATTTTTAATGGCGACTTTCATGTAAATAGACTAGTAGATAAATAGTGTATTTTATGTGTTTGCGGGCAGCCTCCTAAAAACGCACCACATTTTTATTTGCTTGTCGTTTAAATACAAAAACAAAAAAAGATTTATAGATCATTAGGAAAAGCAAAAAGCAAAAAAACAATAAAAAAGTGCAAATGAGAAAACAAAACTCACGTTGTCATGACAACTTTATCAAACTTTTTTTTATTTCAACGCGGTTGTTACGTCATATTCGCTCAGTGGTGACAGTTGTGTGTGTCCTGTAACGTCAGACTTGTGTCGTCACACAACGCCAGGGTGAAGTCACATCTGTAACGAGATTTGCCAACGAATTCAATGACTTGTTTCTCATGAAAACGTTTTATAATGCTAGTGACAGTATATATCAACATAACATAACTATGACTTCAAACTTCAAATTTGTGAATTGCTGTATTAGTGTCCTGTACAGATTATTACAATATACTATTAGCCATGCTTTCTTAACTAACTAGTACAGGACCAATAGTGCGTCCGATCGTGCCCCAATGACCTGCCTTGTGTACGGTTTTGACAATGTGTAATAGTCTAACGTGTTACAGGGCCGCGATTGTATTATATTATATAAAAGTATACAGTCTCATCTGTAAGAAAGTTTTTACTACTTTTAGATATATACTGTTATCAATTCTAAAAGGGTGTAAGCAACTCGCCTATATGTATCATCCTAGGGATATCTTAGTTATACAAAGGGTACTTCAAAAGTATCTTAACAATAATATGTACACAGTTTTTGTCTTAATATTATTACTTATCTGCATGGATGTCGAACCAAATCCAGGACCAACTAGTCATGAGTTGTCAATCTTCCATTTAAATATTCGCAGTTTTAGAAACAAAATAGATTACATAATGGACTTAGCAAGTGATTACAATGTTATATCATTGACTGAAACTCATCTTGATGATAATATACCAACTCGTGATTTAGAATTACAAGGTTTCAGCGAACCTTTTAGGGCCGATAGGAATTATGCTCGTGGTGGAATACTAGTGTATGTTTCGTCACAGATAAAAGCTACCAGACGTTTAGACTTAGAGTTTCCGAATGGCGAGTTAATATGGATATAACTTGATTTTACACGTAGTAGTATTTTATAATGTACCGTATATAGACCTCCTAACGCCAATAATATAATCTGGGAACAATTTCGTACTTCAATAGAAAAAGCAATGGATACATCGGCTAAGCTTGTTATGATAGGTGGCATAAATGTAGACATGCTAACTGTTTCTAGGCAACACGTTTTATCGTATATTTTAACCAGTTTTAATCTGAGAAATGTTATAAATTCTCCAACACCGATAACCAATAATAGTGCAAGTCTTCTTGATCCTGTCATTCTTTCGGAACAGATTAAATGTATCTAATCATAAGTCTTACCTATAGATAGGAATATCAGTGATCATGAAGCATGCTTAGTATATATAGAAGTTTTGATAAGATTAAATTTATCTTATAAACGTGAAATATGGTGCTATAATCAAGCGGATTTTAATGAACTAAGCAGGCAAATTGAACTTTTTTCTCGGAATGAAATGTTTATAAAATCGGAAAGTATTGATGAAGCATGTAACAAGGTTACTAATACATTTAAATCTATGGTTAGTGCATGTTTCCCCAAAAAAGTTATTAGTATTAGACCTAATGATAAGCCGTGGATGACGACTGAATTGAGAAAATTTATTCGATTACGAGATAGGTTACACAAACAATATAGAAGAAGTATGTGTGATATTGATATAACTTGTTTTAAAAGAGCTAGAAACCGAGTAAATAATAGGAAAAAGCATGCACGAGAATCATGTTATACTAATATAGACGGTCTTATTGATAATTACGTAGTATCAGATCCTAAGTCATAATGGAAACTGTTGAGGCGGTTAATTAAATCAGGCGGTAAATCTAATGAAATTCCACCATTAATTGATCCACAAAATGGTAGTATTGTATATGATGATTTTGAAAAGGCTGAGACTTTAAATAATTATTTTTCTTCTGTCTCAGACTTGGATGACAGTGATGCTAGAGTTCCTTCCCTTGATCCTAGAACTAATTCTTCATTGGCTTCCATACAATTAAACCATTCGGAAATAAAAGACGTTTTGGAAGTATTAAAATTAGGTAAAGCTCCTGGTACAGATGGTTTTAGTCACCATATGTTACGACACCCTGCAAAAACTATATGTAAACCTCTTCAAATATTATTTAATATGTCATTGTCTAAATGTATATACCCGACTTTGTGGAAACAAGCTATAGTAATGCCCTTGTACAAAAAAGATGATAAACATTTACCTTCAAATTACAGACCTATATCTTTATTATCAGCTGTAGGAAAAGTTTTTGAACGAGTAATTGTCAAACATATTCACAACTACTGTTTTGAAAACTCACTATTTTATTCAAGACAATCTGGATTTATGTCTAATCATTCCACTGTGCATCAGCTAATCGAAATCTATCACAATATATGTTTAAATCTTGAGGAAAATAAACATACTTGTATTATCTTTTGTGACATATCAAAGGCTTTTGATAGAGTTTGGCATAAGGGGCTGATTGAAAAGCTTAAATCTTATGGTATTACAGGAAATTTCTTGAAGTGGTTAATTAATTATCTACAGGCCAGACAACAAAAAAGTTTTTATTGGTGAATCATTTTCGAATAGTCAGTTATTAAAAGCAGGGGTACCTCAAGCCTCGGTGTTGGGCCCGATTTTATTTCTAATCTATATCAATGATATTTCCGAAAAATTAATTAGCGTATCTAGACTTTTTTGCTGATGACACTTCTTAAATATTTGGTTCTAACAACTGCAACGAAATTGAACGAGTAATGGATCATGATTTTCAATGTATAAATGCATGGTCCAAGCAATGGTTAGTTACATTTAATTCTAATAAAACAGATGTTCTTTTTATCTCAAATATTTAAAAAAAAATCAAGATCTGAAGCTATTGTTTAGCGACAGCATTTTAAATTTTTCTGAAAACCATAAGCATTTAGGGGTAACTTTTAGTGCAAATGCTAAATGGGGTGATCATGTTGAAAATATTTATAAAAGTGCTTTAAAACGGATAAATGCTTTAAGACTATTAAAATTTCTGGTGAACAGGAAAGTTCTTAGTAAAATATATACATGTTTCATTCTACCTATAATGGGATATGCCTGTGAACTCTGGAGTGGTTTATCTAAATTCCATATTGATTTGTTAGAAAAACTTCAACTGGAAACTGCTAGAGTAGTAACTGGGTTGCCAGTATATGCAAGTTCTCAATCTTTATATTTTGAAACGGGGTGGGACACTTTGAATATCAGAAGAGAACGAAGAAAGCTAACTTTATTTTACAAAATGCACAATAAACTAACACCGTCATATCTTTATACATTACTTCCAGGTTTAGTATGTGATAGAACTCCATATCCCCTTAGAAATAACAAAAACTATACCATGCATAACTATATTCTTTCCAATACTAGATCATCATATATACCAGCAACTACAAAAAATTGGAATAACTTATCAGAAACCACTAGAAATCAAACTACAGTTAGTAAATTCAAAACTCCGGAACACCATAAGCCACCGTGTTTCTATGGACCCCGTCGCCTTAATATCTTATTAACTAAACCTAGACACAATTGTAGCCAACTGAATTATGATCACTTTCGTGTGAACCTTGTAGAATCTCCTTTTTGTGCCCGTGGCCACCCCTGTGAAAACTCATACCGTTATTTTTTCCAATGTCCAATGTACAGGAACATCAGACATGAAATGTTAAATAAGTTGATACCATATCATCCTGTGCACCTAGAGTTACTATTGTTGGGAAATGTTGAATTATCAAATGTTGACAACGAGCGTATTTTCGAAATTGTTCAGACTTTTATTTATTCAAGTGACCGTTTCTAAACAAAAACATTGTATGAAGGTATATGTATCTAATCTGTCATAATATCTTCTCTCCTAAACCTCTCATTCTGCTCTGTAGGTCTATAGAATAGTTAATAGTGTTACTGGTTCAGCAAATTGTATATATGTATATTTTCTTCTCAAATTGAAATAATTCCGCTGCATGGCACTTTGATATGTTACCTAGAAGGAACAGGAATGACTCGAGGAAGGATTATAAGGAATGTGTTTTATATGGACAAACGAATAGCTGATGTGAAAAGAATGTGTAGCTAGTGCGTGCCATGCAGTAGTTTAAGTTTAAGTAGTTTCAAAATATTCATACTTTGAATGAACCTTTTGTATCATGCGAAATATACTCTACTTATCTCTATGATCTCTTCTGTCTTTCAAAACTCTCTTTTTTTTTTATTTTTTTCTTCTTCTATTTTTATGATTAATGGCGTTAAGGATCCTTGTCCCACTGCCCTATGATTTCGTATATACATTAACCTCCCCTTAATTTCGTATATACATTAACCTCCCCTTAATTTCGTATATACATTAACCTCCCCTTAATTTCGTATATACATTAACCTCCCCTTAATTTCGTATATACATTAACCTCCCCTTAATTTCGTATATACATTAACCTCCCCTTAATTTCGTATAGATATAACTGTAGCAAAGTTGGGCCAAGACACTCCAGCTAATCAAGTAGCGTAGTCGGTTAGAGCGATAGTTTAACAACCTGTAGTCCAGGGTTCGAATCCGGGTCTTGTCCTACTGATTTCATCATGGTGGCATGACACCTTACAAAGAAATGAGAGTTGTGTCCCGTTGGAAAGTATTGTTATATACAGTAACCCCCCTTAATTTCGTTTTGGATATAACTTTAGCACAAGTGGTTCAGGACACTTCTGCTGATCAGGTAGCTCAGTCGCGTAGAGCGAAGGTATAACAACCTGTAGTCTAAGGTTCGAGTCTCGCATTTTTTAAAAATCAGAACACTATTGTTGATATCATTTTTTAGTTTTTTCCATCGCTATTGCGTTTTCATGAAAAGTATCGCAAGAAATTATTTTTCAAAGCTATGCTCATGTCGACAGAATCGGATGTCAGTACATGGCTCATGTTTTTGGCAGTTGTACGAGGATCTTTAATAGGGTTAGTAAGCTATTTCAAGTTTTAAGGCCAATATTCCAAATAGTTAGCCTATGACACCCGCTAGATACATGCTGAACCGCTAAATACCCTGACAGGAGGTGACAGACGACGTGAAACACACCATGCTGCTTCATTAGCCACGTTCAACCAGACTCTTGTTGTCTGCGCAAGGTACGCCGAACAGAGAATTACAAGTGATCAAGCGTCTGGTTGAACGAGAATAACTGCTTCACTAGTTTTGTTCCAACACAATGCGCAAACTCAAACATGTACAAGACAACATCCGGTGATTATAAGGAACGACTATCATCCGGATAAGGACTGATCTAGACACTATATGACCAACTTAAATCACTTACTTGTTGATATAAAGTCTCCCATTGCTGGCACAGACGGGGTCAATATCGGCCGCACAACTGATAGTATCCTTATTCTGACAGAAGATCGATAAGAGAGGGTCTAGTGTCGGTGCTGGTGTAGGCGTCGTTACAGAGGGTGCTGTTGGTGAAGGTGTCGTTATAGAAGGTTCTTTGGTGGTGTATATTTCCACAGGGCGGTTGCCATAACATTGACCAAGGGAGGCAACTGATATCGAGTCGTCGGCACATTTTGCTTTGCTGTACTCGCAGCTAGTGAGAGAAAAAATATATTGAATGTTTCGGTCATCCTTAAAAGCGTCTTCAACCGACAACAAGCGTCTTCAACCGACAACAAGCGTCTCCAACCGACAACAAGCGTCGCCAGACACAATCTTTAAAAATACCCGAATGCTTTGATGGTCTGGTTTATAATCAGGAAAGGTTTACATATTTAATTAACTTCAATTTCATTTAATGAAATTTAATAGATTTTGAATGGTTTCAGAACAATCACCTATCTGAATGGTACGTTATTATATATACTGACTTCTAATATTAATAGGTTTTATATTTAATTGATTAATAACGACCTGGATTCAATATAGCTACCGTGTCTGAACAAACGGTGATTGGAAGCGTTTTACGTAAATCGACATCTGCGCATGTCACCAACCTTACTGAATACTGTAACTATGGTTACTTTGATGCTATATATGCAATATATCGATTTTCCGTGTCAATATACATACCATCCATATTCAAAATAAGTTGTATATGATATCCTAACGTTTCCATACTGACAAGTTGTTGTA